TCCCTCTCCTCCATACAGTTCCTCAAGCCATGGAGAAGGCAGAAGAAAGTCCCTTTTCCAATGAGGAGGAGGAAGAGGAAGAAGAGGAGGAAGAGGAGGAAGAAGTGCCTTTGGAGCCAGACTTAGAGCAGGTGAGTGGCAGGAAACCAGCTGTCTACTCTGTTGAGCCAGGAAGCAGCTGCCAGGTATTTTCCACCCCTCAACATAGAAGCACCAATAGCCGGCATCCTCCTCCTGGCGTGTCTTCTAACTCCGTCTGACTGACTTGCCTCTAAGTGTCTTATTTGCTTATTTCCATCCCAATGTTCCACCCGTCCAGTTTCCTCCATTCCTAACCAGGGTCGGGCCTTACTGCTGACGGGCCTAACCCTCCCACAGACTCTGCAGACCTTTGCTAAGAACTCCGGCACTATGACTAAGTACCCGACGTGGTATCGAACCCTCATGCGGCGTGCTAAAGAGGAGGAGATGAAGAGATTTTGCAAGGCCCAGGTGAGCCCCAGAGCCCCAGAGCCCCAGGCATCCCGAGAGCTTGGGTGGGATCAGAGCTGTCAAGTGCAGAGTGTCTCCAGTGCTCTGTTCTGGAGCAATCTGGGGCATCCTGTCCTAAAATCCGCAGGCCATCCAGCGAAGACTAAATGAGATTGAGGCTGCTCTGAGGGAGCTGGAGACCGAAGGCATGGAGGTGGAGATGGCTTTGAGAAGGCAGAGCAGTGAGTAGAGATGGGAGAGTGCAATCCTGTCCCATGTCTGTCTGGGTCCTGGCAGCATGTTCAGCCCTCAGCAGTCCCTGGGGCTGGTGGCTGTGCCCCACGGCTGACACCCAGAACAGCCTATTTCCCCTGCATCCTGTCACCTCCATTCCTTTTCTTCCCTATCAGGCTCTCCAGAAGAGGAGAAGAAACTCTGGGTAGAGCAGCTGCTCCAGCTCATCAAGGAGAGAAACAACCTAGTGACGGAAGAGGCTGAACTCATGATCACGTAAGGCCAAGGGGTGGTGGCGTATGGGAGCCAGGTCCTGTCCCTGTGCGGACCCTGCTTAGCTGTGCTTCTGTACTCTCTGGTCTCTGCAGGGTCCAGGAGCTGGATCTGGAGGAGAAGCAGTGGCAGCTGGACCAGGAGTTGCGAGGCTACATGAACCGGGAAGGTCTATAGGCTATCTTATGACCTTGTACACTAACCAAGTAACAGTTCTCTGGCCTCTGGCCTGCTGAGACAATTCAGGAGGAAGCCAAAGGCCTCCGGTCTCCCCCAGTCAGGGCTACGCAATTGGATTTTGTGTAGTACTTCCTTCCCCACTGGTGCCAACGAACACTAGGAAACCACCACCAGGCAAACCTCACTTTAAGTCTCAATAAATGCAGCCTGGAATGTAGAAACCAGGCTAAGTTAGCTTGATCATCTCTTCAGGCTCCCTGCCTAGGTCCCTGTTCTCTAAGCCTCCTCTGTTCCCTCCAGAAACCCTGAAGACAGAGGCCGATCGTCAGTCTGAGGACCAGGTCCTGAGGAAGCTGTTGGATGTAGTGAACCAGCGGGATGCCCTTATCCGCTTGCAGGAGGAACGAAGGCTCAGAGAGATGGCTTCGGAGATGGGGACCCAGGGCTAGAAGGTGGTTAGCCACATGCCTGCTTCCCTGCCCTGGAAGCAAGACATCATCCAAGGGCAGTGCCTCTGCCATCTGGACTGCCTCGCCTGGGGCTTCTTTTAAAATAAAGTATTATGGCCATGAGTGGTGCTTCTGTTATGTTCAGGTAGGAGACAGGAATGTGCTAGGAAGGCAGGTATGAGCCAATGCCCTGGCATCCACATGGTGACAAGCCCGCTGACCCTCAGTTCCTGTCACTGCCTCCACAAGGAACAAAGCAGAACCACGAGGGTGTGTCAAGCTTTATTGTTCTTCAGCTCTGTCCGCCTCCTGCTGCCAGCAGTGGGGCTAGGTGAGGCTCTGAGCCATTGTCCTGGGTCTCTCTTTCCCTTCTCAGAACATGATGGAGCTCAGCCTGGACCCGGCACAAGCCTTTGACCTCCTGCATGTGGAAGATGTAGACTGTGCCTGCTACCAGCACCAGCCCCACACTGGGTGTCCAGAGCAGTATGGCCACTTCCCTGGCCCCTTCTCCTAGAGCCAGGATACACAGCAATGACAAGAGGAATAGCCCACAGGCAGTCACATAGCCAGCAAGTTCCGCCCACCAGTGAGCCTGTTTAACTCCTAGCTCCAGCTCTGTCCACACGTCCCTTAGCACACTGGTCAGTGCTGAACTTTCAGGGGCTCCTAGCACAAGGAAGAACAGTAGGGCAGGGTCAGAATGGAGGCTGGAGTTGCCTTGAGATAAAGGGGGCAAGGAGAAAGCTGACTCACCCTGGGTAGGATAGGGGTCTTCCTGAGGGGGGCTGTGCTTCACATACAAAGTGGCCATGAGGGCCTCATGATCAGAGAGGGGAGTGCTACTGTTGGGGTCACAGCCTGTAGTGGTTTTCAGAGTCTTACAGTAGATGTAACACCCAGAGACTGCCTAGGAAGAGCAAGGACAGAGAGAAGCGTAAGCTCTCCAGAGAACCAGGTACCAGAAACCCTTCCCCAGCCATTGGTGGCCCAAGACTCCATCAGCTGAAATACAGTGCATCATGGGCTGGCGACCGAGGAGGAGAACAGAGCAAAGCATGCTGGGGGTAAGGGCCTGACCTTGTAAAGCACATAGTCAATGCGGATGCCAAGTGGAAATGGTCCCAGGTCCTGCTGGCTGACATAGCAGTTTGTGGGTACCATGGTACAGCCGGCTTCAGAGCCCTAGGCAAACAGGTGGGTAGGATGTTGTGAGGCAGGAGATTGAAACAAGCGTGGTGGAAACAATCAGACAGGGCCTCTCACCTTAAAGTCCTGAGTCTCTACATAGGCATCACGAAGCCCTGTCCACTCCTTCAGCAGGCAGCAGCCCAGGTCTTTGGGGTGCATGTTGAGGTCCCCACACAAGAGAACCACATCTGCACTCTTGGAGGTGTGGCTATGGGAGGGGAGCAGAGCCATGAGGAGGAGAGCATTACTCTGCCACCCTTCAACCCAAGTCCCCACCGCACTGCCCCCATCAAGCCCAGGCTCACACACTGGATGAACTGGGCCAGTTCCCAAGCTTGGGCCACCCGGTGCGCTAGGTAGATGTCTTTCTGCCGACAGTACTCAGCGTGGAGCTAAAGTGGAAGAGGTGAGATTACAGATAAGTGTAAGGCCCTGGAGGTTGTCTAGATCAGCCCTGAATCTGTCATTGGGCAGAGTTGAACACAGAACGAGTGACCCTTGCCCTGCTGCCACCCTCTGATGCCCTGCCTCACCCCAGGCAACAGAGCTAGTGGCATCTCTTCGCCACCACAGCACGGGGCTGCCTGGCCCAGAACCTACACCTACACCTGGCCGGCTTCACTCACGTGGGTCACGTAGGCATTGAGCACCATTCCGTTCAGATGGAGCACCAGCAGCCCCACAGCCTTCCCGCAGAACCAGTCTCCATGACAGACCTGCAGGCCAAAGACAGAGACACTCAGCACTGCCCACCTTCCTTCTGCCTAAGGCCCTGGGAGGGCAGCACCTAGCTTGTGTTATTGGGGATAGTGGGGAGACCCTCACCATGTAGGGGTAGCCATTGAGAGTGTAGACATGCTGGAGAATTTCCTGGATCGGGTGTCTGGAGAACACACAGAGGCCGCTGCCGATGAGCCCGCTGAAAAGCAAGTCTTGCTCAGCAACTGGAAAAACAAGGAGGGAGATACCCAGCCCTCTTCCGCCCCTTGTCTCCCAGCTCTGATCAGCAACTTTTCTCTCTTCTGCTAAGATCAGCCCCAGAGCAAAGCTTAGGACAGCAGCCCTAGCAAGAGGATGCGGGGGACAGCCCAAGAGGAAGAGGGTGAAGGGTGCAAGCAAGAATATGGGAGAGCCAAGAGCTTCGTGGTCTAACAGGCCCCAGCCACAGACAGTGGTTCACCTTCTGAAGTAGTGTGCATCTGGGTAGGTGAGTGATAGCTTTCGCCTTAGGTACTGGAAGTCCTGCTCACTCCACACCTGAGGACAAAGGTGAAGATGCTTGCTTGGACTTCATCCCAGAGCGAAAGAGGCCCCCAGCGCCCCCTGCTGCCCTTCTCCCAGCCTGGCCTTCCCTTCAACCTCACCTCCTGCAACAGAGCCAGGTCGAAGCTTTCCAAGTTCAGAAAGTCAGCCAAGCGCTTCATGCGGTCGGCCCTATGCTTGCTCAAGTAGGGGATGTCCCTAAAAAAGGAGAGGAGCCAGGAGTCCGGAGAGACGGTTCAGCGGTTAAGAGCACACTGACTGCTCTTCCAAGGTACATGGATTCAATTCCAATTCCCGGTACCAACATGACAGTTCACAACTGTCTGTAACTCTAGTACCACAGACATACATGCACGCAAAATACCAATGCACATCAAATAAAAATAAATGAATTTTCTTTAAAAAGAGAGAGAGAAGGGCCAGGCTCGGGGAGATGATTGCTGCCACCACCCAAGAGGCTCTAGGTGATGTGGACTTTAGTTCGAGAAAGACAGGGTCAAGGCTGAAGAAGGCCTGTTTCTTTCCTAAGCATTTGAGTGTAAGGACAGGAAGGTGGCCCCGAGGCCATAGCCCTCGCCTGGGCGCACTTACCAGCAGTTGAGGTTAAAAACCCTCAGCCGGAGAGAGAAGTTGGGCTTCATGGCTGGGTGCTTCGGGCCACCGGCGGCTAGGCTGACGGAGCGCACAGGTGGCCGGCCCTGTCCCGTGCTGCACAGTCCCTCGAACGCGAGCTGGGGGCGACTCCCGCGTTACTGAGACAACAGGCCGTCCGCCAACCCGGAAAGGAGGTCGAAAGCAAATTCCGGGCGGGCTGCGCGAGACTGCCGGCAGTCCCGGGAGGGTCCCGTGGGGACCGCTCCAAGCAGTTCGGGCCCTCGGCGGGTTCCCGGCACCGCGGCCTACGGGTTCCTGGCTCGGCCCTGGCCCCAGCAACAGGCTCAAAGTTGATGCGAGGCCCCGCCTACGCCAGCCGCTCAGGCCCGCCCCTTGCGGGCGTTGGGGGCGGAGCCACGCGGTTGCCGTGGCGACTCGCAGTGTTTGTGCTCCCGGCTGCGGGCTAGCGCGGCCATGGCCACTCCGCAGCAGCAGCCGCAGCCGCAGCCGTGCCGGCCGAAGCCCTCAGCTTGTCGCACTCCGGTGCTGCCGGAGTCGCCGCTGCAGGTGAAGGTGGTGGGGCTCTTCAAAAGCTCCAGCTTTCAGATGTCAAAGACCATCGCTGAGGTATGAGCACCGCAGCCCCCTGCCTCGGTTCCGCCAGCGCTGGCGGGTCCGCTTCTATCATCAGGGTGGGTGAGTGTGTGGGTGTGTCGGGGACAAAGGCAGGTCGCGCGCGGAGAGAACCTCACGGGGAAAATGGTAATTTCCGCGCAGCTATGCATCGAGATGCTAGTCCACGTGAAGTTCTGACTGAATTACGGATTTACAAAATTCAAGGTTACAGAAAAGTATTACCGCATAACTAGCTGACTTAAAAAAAAACTCCTTGTGATTTGGGGTGATTTCATTCTGGAAGGTTCTTTTTCTTTATAATTTATATAGGTGTTTCTGCATTCTAACAGAGACAGATACTTCTCGGATTCTTAAGATGGCCCAGAAGTGCTTTGAAGAATCCATATGTCTTTTAAAACTCCTAGAGTGACATAAAACACTTGAAGAAAAACAAACAAATCTAGCCTGGTCAGTCACGCTGCAGCACATCTGCCACCTGAAAGCAGGAGAAACGTGGGAGAACGATGGTGAAACACGCATCACTCGGCCCCATGACCTACCCACCCACAGGCACCGCTCTGCCCCGCGACCTACCCACACTCACCGCACTGCCCCGCGACCTAGCCCCACACACCGCACTGGCCCCATGACCTATCCACACGCACAGCTCTGCCCCGCGACTTACCCACACGCATCGCTCTACTCCGTGACCTACCCACACACTCCGCTCTGCCCCGCGACCTATCCCCAGGCTCCATTCTGCCCCGCACTTACCCAAAGGCACCGCACTGCTCCGCGACCTACCCACACACACCACTCTGCCCCGCGACCTACCCACACACACCGTACTGGCCCCGTGACCTATCCACACGTACCGTTTTGCCCCGCACCTACCCACAGGCACCGCTCTGCCCTGCCACCTACCATTTGTGCTTGTCTTTCCAGATTGCCCAGATGGTTGCAAGGGCAGCCAAGTAGAATTCACCTTCAGAAACTGCCTCTTGCTTGCCCCAACACCCACTGTTTGGGATGTGTAGGAGGGAGAATAAAGGTTTCTTGGTTCGGTTTGTTTCGTTTTTATTGTTGTTTTGAACCAGGGTTGTTTTATTGCTAAAGAGGTTCAAGGGATACTTTTCTTTCTTAGTTGCTTCTCTTAGGGTGAATTATATTTGTTCCACACTGCAGGAAGTCCAATTAGTAAAGATGTTAGGTGTTGTGGGACACAGTCTCAGGCTTACCCTGTGAAAGCAGTGTGCCTAGGGATGGTAAGAGGCCCATCCTCCTGGCACTCAGGAGGCCGAGACAGGGAGATAGAGAGCTGAGGGTCAGCCTGGGGTACACAACAAAGCAGAGCGGCAGCCGCAGGATGTAAGTGAATTGTGAGTAGTCTTCCAGTGAAATTTTATTGTAGATGTTGTGTTGGACTTACATATGATTTTGATGTAATGCAAAATATGATTCATCTTTTGATTGTCTTTCGATCATTAAAAGATGTGGAAATTATTCTTGGCTGTCAGTTCTTTCAAAACCTTACAGGAGTCGCAATCTGAGATAGATGGTACCAACTCAAGAAAACAATGTCTTTACTTTTCTAATAATGTAATTTCCCCAAGGTTTTGCCTCTTGGGACAGTATTCAAATATGAAAATGTATCAATGTAAATTCAGTTAGTTCTAGCATAATCAAGGATATTTGATTATAATCCCAATGTATTTATAAATAATCCCAGATGCCTGACACATAGACAGATTTAGATTTGCACAAAATAAGGATAAATATTAGCATATATTTTAATTTGGATGTGGTCCACTCTACAACAAATGCTATTATTATGAGCAAACATAAAAACTACTAATCTTATTACTTTTTCTAGATAGTTCTTCTCTTAGAAACAGTGGTCATCCTGTAGGATTGCCTGAAACGGACCAAACGCAGGCTGTAGAACTGAGAAATAATTCTCTTGTTTGTTGCCAGAGTATGAAACACTCTCACCCAGGCTTCCCTGCCACACCCGATAGAACGTGCCTGCCTGTGCTCTTCTAGGCCACAGCAGGGCCTCTGAGCATCACCCTTAGCGACAGAGGTTTGGTTCCCAGCACCCGTCTGCCAGTTTACGACTTACAACTCCAGCTCCAAGAAATCCAGGGACCTTTTCTGGTCTCCAGGAACATCCCCAATCCCATGAACATTGACCGCCTCCTGACCCAGCCCCAGTGCGCGCACATACACACACACCTTTTAGAAGTATTTTTTAAAGAGTCATTTTCTCTGATTCATGCACATGAAACATGTTTGGCTAAAGCACACTCAATACTAAAGCTCATCTAGAAGCTGACACTTACTGAGCATTTGCTTCTCCTTTTCCTGAGTTGCGTAACCACAACAGTGGCCTTCTGGTCATTCTCCTTACATCAATAAATTAAGACAATAATATTTATAATTTCTTTGCTACAAATCAAGTACCTGAAATTTAGCAATTTAATTTAGAGGAAAAGTCCTGTCTGAAGAGCCCATAAAAATCTAGAGAAAAGATTTTGACTTTCAAGAGAAAACCTAGGCGCTGTGACGATGGCACAGGGAATAGAATGCCAGCTGTGCAAGCACGTGGGCCTGAGTTCAGAGCCCTGAGCCCCGTGTGAAACCAAGCCCAGCCCATGACTCCTGTAGCCCTAAGACTGGCAGGAAGAGGCCGGTGGGTCTCGGGAACTCCCCAGCCAGCCAGCATGGCTGAAATAGCTCCAAGTTTAACAAATAAGCCAGAGAGGAGAAAGGGAAGACCTCTGGTCCCCGCATGTTCATGCATGGCTGTGTGCGCTGCCTACTCCAATACGTGCGTGTACGGCTGGTGCGCCCTGCCTGGTTCCCCCAGGTGCATGTACGGCTAGTGCGCCCTGCCTGGTTCCCCCATGTGCTTGTACGGCTAGTGTGCCCTGCCTGGTTCCCCCATGTGCATGTACGGCTGGTGCACCCTGCCTGGTTCCCCCATGTGCGTGTACGGCTGGTGCACCCTGCCTGGTTCCTCCATGTGCGTGTACGGCTGGTGCGCCCTGACCCACCCCACCCCCAGATAAATGAGTAAATACACAAATAAGAACCTAAACTATTCTATCTTGCAACCTAGACTCTGAAACATAATTACCCATCCAGATTTGAAGATCCCGTGATAGTTCCTCTTCAAGAGTTTGCTTGGGATCAGTATCTACAGGAGAAAAAAAGGGTAAGGGATACGCCAGCATGGACAATATTGACACGTCCGCTTCTGTGTGAAGTATTTGTGCAGTTTGGGGGAAAATGACAAACTCCTGCTATCATTTGTTCTCTCTATTATGCACTTTCCTTAATTATTTTACTCATCTTCCTAGACTTTCCTAAACGATAAGATATTTACATCTTGTAGCTGGTATTTGAGAGAGATGGGTTTTAAACTGCTGGAGACGCCAGCTAGCCCTGATGGCCACCCTTCTTTCTTCTGTGTTGCTTGCACTTCCTACAACACCCTGGCACTCAGCTTATGGTGGCCTGGCCCTTAACCTGGAAAGTGTGGATGTGTGTTGGTTGGAGCTGTTGTCTGAGGACGTCTCCTGGCAGTGGCTACCCTCCTATGAGCAGCTCGCCCTACCGGAAGCTTTGTTCTCCACATTTCTCCTCGAACCCAGGGCTGCCCTGTCGGGGCATGGTAGATAGCTTACATTTTGTAGTGTTACCTGGAGTCTAGAGTGAGAAGGAGGCTATGGTGGCATCCTGACTCGGCCATATGTCATATGACAAAGTCATAGCAAACACTCATGTATGGTGCTTAAGGAATGGAGGACACTATTCTAGGATACGGGGTAGGAAGGGAGGGAGACATTCAGTTCCTGCTACAGCTAGGGGTAACCAATGGTCCTGTTTTTCTTGGGATACAGGAATTTCAATGTTAAACTAAAGCAATTTTAAGGAAACTGGGGGCAGTGGACCAACCCTAACATAAGACCATTTTTCAATTATTAATTAATTAATAATGTATATGTGCATGGATATTTTGTCTGTATGTATTTTGTCTGTAAACCATATGCATGCCTAGTGCCCATGAAGGCCAAAAGAGGGCAATGAGTCTGGGCCTGGAGTTAGAGACATCTGTGAAAACCCACGAATGAGGTTTTCTAGTTCGTCGCTGTTGCTTTATTTGGTCTCTCTCCTTTCTTCTCTTTCCCACCCGCAGCTTAACTTTTTAGTGTAAACCATGTCTTGTGTTGGGTGCAGGGCTTCCTAGGACATTTGGTCCCAGTAAGTTGGTTCATAAGACTTAACTTGCCTTCTACTTCCACAGAATGTAAGGCTCCCCTATGGGCACAGCTTCAGGAGCCATGGGAAGGCCTATCTCTTCACTCAAAAGAAAGAAAAGGAAAAAGAAAAAGAAAAAAGGACAGCTTCATTAGCAAGTAGTGACAGAAAGTTCTAGAAAGCATCAGAGCCAGGCTGCTACCTTGAGGCAAGCCAGGAACTCTCCTAATGTGCACCAAGAGATAATGTTTCTATCTTACATGTCTTCTCTGGCATTCCCTACCTCATAGAACAAAGTGTCCACAGTTACATTTTCCTGTCTTGCTATAGGTTTGGGTCTTGCAAGACACAACACCAGTAAATCTAAACACTCCAGGGACTGCCCAGCCTTTATCAGTGATTCACCACTGGGCACGAACAAGTGCGCTCTCCAGAACGAGAGCCGGAAGCAGGTTTTGAGAAAGGCACGGAAAGCAAGGCGGAGGCTATTAGAGCTCCTCAGAGGGGCGGGCAATACAGCTCGCTGGCAAGCTGGAAGGCAAATTGTTGCCCAAACTAGTATTTCTTCAGTGCAGTCTTGAGACCAGCAGACTGATGGGAGCAGGAGGGACAGACGGGGGGCATTTTTATGTCCTATATTGAGAGGGCACATCCTTACTTCACGTTGCAGGGCAGAATCTGTATACATGCATCTCAGCACATACATACTGCCACCTGCTTCTCTGTTAATTCATCCTAGATGCTGCCTAGAGAGTACCCAGATCTCCCCAATGAAGGCTGACAATAAGTAACGAGGGATCAGTGTGGGAGGGGATATGTAGAACCTCAGAGTCAGGCTTGACAGGAGGAGCAGGACTGAATTTGGAATGGCAGCCTTTTTCATTGTAAGACGCGCTAACTGAAGATGACAACGGCAGGAATATGAGGAGCTGACCCTGTCTTCCAGGTGGTTGTCTGAATGAAGCACAGTAAAGATTCCATTCCTGTCCCCCAGCTCACTGGGGCTTGTGATAACAGGTAGCACAAAGCTCAGTATTCTGGTTACAGGACCAGAATTTCACTGGCTACCACTAGAAATGCAGATTCTCCACCAGGTCCAATCCCCCAGCACAAGTCAGATTCTACTGAGACTTGCAAATGTCTGCTCCAAGTCATTCAAGGTTTGCCAGAAAATAATAGGCCATATCTTCTCTGGGTTTCATGTTGTTCAGGCCACGCTGGGGATCTAGGAAGCTAATGGCAGCCTTACATTGATGAAAACACTAATATAGTTCATCTTAAGTGGCTTAAAGTGTGGGGGAAGGTGAGTTTTCTTGTCTCTGATGAGATGTAGAAACTCCTGTTGGCCCTCATGAGGCATCTCCTAAAGAAATTCTCTATCCAGAACAATCACTGTCTCATGCTTGGGTTTCATAGCTTTATTGCACACATGCACGCACATACACCTCAGTTCTCTACATTGAAAAGCACACCTTACTCAGGCCCGCATCCAAGAATGCACACAGGAAAGTGTGCCTCACAAACGGAGACAGAGACTGCATGGAATTCACGAATGAACGGAACACACAGGTGCACCAGGTAGATATTATTATTACCCAATTTCACCTACCTATGACTGTAATAGTTTAAAGACTGCTTTCTAACTTATTCTCTATTCTTCATTATGTTAAGAGTTTCAAACACATTGAATTCTTTTTTCACAGCAGAATTCTGAAAGATGTTTTCTTTTTTTAAAAAAAAAACAACAACGTATTTTAAAAGCATTAATCCTGTAGTTGGCAAATCAGGCTGTAGAGTTCATCTCAAGCTCTCGTTTGTGGTTTCAGCAAATGTTTTGTTTTTCTGTCATTATCCCTGCCCCACCCCTATTTCCTGTAGGAACTGAAGGGTGAAACCTGGGTATATTCCTCCTATGTGATGTGCTTTGTTAATGATCAACTGCTGGGTAACGCATTTGACCTGAAGAAGTGGGCCCAGAAGGTGTGGGATGTGGTTGATGTCCGACCCTCCGCACTGTATGAAGCACTAACTTTGAATTATTCCACCAAGTTCTTAAAAGACACCAAGGCAAGTTACACAGGTTTTTAATAGAATTTTTCATCATTTGTGTTAACTCAGCATTAATTGTTGATGTACTCACAAAGGAGATACACCAGGAGATTAAGATGTAAGCCCCCAGTGACCTTATTTTAAAAGCAGTTGCAAAGGATTATAGTTCAGGGTTTGGCTGCGCAATGAGGTAAGCAGATGTATGTCACAGCAGACTGTGTTTCTCCTCCCCTTTCTTTCTTTTTTTTTAAATATTTTATTTATTTATTTATTTACTTATTATGTATACAGTGTTTTGCGTGTATGCTTGCATGCCAGAAAGGGTACCAGATCTCATTACAGATGGTTGTGAGCCACCATGTGGTTTCTGGGAATTGAACTCAGGACCTCTGGAAGAACAGCCAGTGCTCCTAACCTCTGAGCCATCTCTCCAGCCCATCTCCTCCCCTTTCAAGATGTACGTGCATGCATTCCTCCTATTAGAACATAAACACCGTTTGATATGCACCTGTAGTCTTAGCTTCTCAGGAGGCTGAGGCAGGAGGATTGTTTGTACCCTTAATTCTAAGGCCAATCTGGACGATATAGCAAGACCCTGTCTCCCAGCAAAGCAGGAACTAGTGGGTATCATGAATGGGGAGGGCACGTGTACCACAGCAGGCTGCGGAGTTGTTTCTCTCCTTCGCTGTTGTGTGTTCTGGGGACTGAACTTGGACCATCAGACTTGTGTGGTAAACGAGGGCTTTACCTCCACTGCCCTGTGTGCCACATGTGTCCAGACGCCCTCAGAGGTTAGAAGGGTGTTCAGTTCCCTTGGAGCTGAAGTTAAAGGCATTTGCGAGCCCCTTGATGTGGGTGCCGGGAACTGAACTTGTGTCCTCTGGAAGAGCAGCAAGCGTGGTTAGCACTGAGCCAAGCCTCCAGCCGTGGCCCTGAAATACTTTGAAATTTCCTAACACCTAAGTGAGCACTACCGCATTGAGACTGAACGTCTGAAAGGAATGAACTGGGATTAACCATCAACCCCTGAGTAACCTGATCTAAAGGATGAGGACTGTCTTAGCGTTTCTATCACTGTGAAGAGACACCATGACTATAGGAACTCTTACAGAGGAAGACATTTAATTAGGGGTGGCTTACAGTGTCAGAGGTTTAGTTCTTTATCATCCTGGCAGGATATGGCCGCGTGCAGGCAGACATGGTGCTGGAAAAAGAGCTGAGAGTTCTACATCTTGGTCCACAGGCAGCAAGAAGTGAACTTTCTTATACAGTCCAGGCCCTCCTGTCCAGGATGGCACTGCCCACATTGGGCTGGGCCTCCTGCATCAATTAGCAATTAAGAAAATTCTCCCACAGACCGGGTGTGGTAGCACATGCCTTTAATCCTAGCACTTGGGAGGCAGAGGCGGGTGGATTGCTGAGTTCAAGGCCAGCCTGGTCTACAGAGTGAGTTCCGGGACAGCCAGGGCTACACAGAATGACCTGGTACTAGGACCTGAGCTGCGCAGAGGCTTTGTCTCATGACCCTTATTTAAGCACTGCCTTGAACAGGCACTAAGCCTAGTAGGCAGCCAGTGAGTGTTTGGTTGAACAAACAATGCATTTTTAAAATGCTGGAAACTCTGAGGTACAGAGGAGGATTTATTGTTTGTGGTTAATTCCCAAAGGAAATCTGGAGGTCCACGGTGTTCCCCAGGAATGTCAGTGGCCACAAGGAAGGCAGAAATAGTAGTCAATCAGGCTGAGAAAATGAGACAGAAAATGAGTCTTGGTGCCAGTGGTCCGAAGTTACTTGACTAACAAAAATGTGTATTGCCATGGGGCTGACTCACCGAGTTCACAGGAAAGCGTTAGAAACCAGGTAGGCACAAGGAGGCCACATCCCAGGGAAATGGGCAGAGCCATGCCAGAGGAATGTTTGGCCGGCAGTCCACCCCAGGTTCAGCAACCGCTAGCCCTAGGTTCATGCCGCCACTGTCGTCATGGAAAGTGGCTTCCTGACATCTTCTGTGTCTTTACAATACTTCCTGAGCCCCAGGTCCCAGGAGTACTTGTCCAGAAAATCTAGGCCACATGTCCACAACCTTTCCGTCCGGGGTGGGAGGAGGGAGAATCTGGGTCCTGCATGTTCTAGCAATGCTAGAGAAATCCACTGGGATGTTGCCCAGATAGGAAGGATGGGCAGGTGTTAAGCAGGATGGGGAAATCCAGCAGATCCTAAGATGATGATTTACTATCCCTGCTGAAACATGGAGATTTTGTCCAGACGGAAGACAGTCCAACAGCATTTCAGACTACAACATAATCCATTTCGCTTTTGGGTGCGGTGGGTGGAGCCATGCCAAAGCAAGCTGGTGGCAGGCGAGGTGTCTGGAAAGCGCTGTGGTGACACGTGCTAGGGACAATGAAGCGTGAATTAACGGTGGCACTGGCAACGGAGGGTCTAGAGTCCTGAGAAAAGACTGCGTGTTTTTACAGGGCGGATTTCTCATGTTGATGGAAGCCAAGGATCTTGTCTATTTCTAGGCTGAAGTGCCCTGCTTATGTATGTTTGTGTATGCTTGTGTGTTAGGCTCCAAGTGACTGGATGGTTGTAGTAGGAGCTGTGGGCCTGCTTTTCGTCCCACCCGGCTCCCGCACGGCTAGCTTTACACCAGAAATAACAACACACAAACTGTATTCTTTTAAACACTGCTTGGCCCATTAACTCTAGCCCTTACAGGCTAATTCTCATATCCCGATCAACCCATCTCTAATAATCTGTGTAGCATCAGTCTTACCGGGAAAGATTCAGCATGTCTGACCTGGTAGCTTGCTTCATGGCTTCTGCCCGAGAGAGGGGAGCATGGCCTCTGAGCTCACTTCCTCTTCCTCCCAGCATTCTGTTCTGTTTACTCCTCCCACCTATGTTTTAACCTATGAGGCCAAGCAGTTTCTCTATTACTTAACCAATGACCTTCCTCCATCAGATGGTACTTTGTGTCACATTCATCTGTCATGAACACTTTCAGAATTATTTTGGTTTTTTACTTTTGGTTGCTATTTTTTTTTTCTACCTGGAGGGACAGCCGTGGGTGCTGGGAACCGAACTCTTATATTTTTGGTTGTGAGCCTAGCCTTTAACGGCTGAGCCATCCCTCCAGGCCTTTTGGTTGCTATTTTAAAAGTAGAGTTTAGAGCTGAAGAGATGGCTCAGAGGTTAAGAGCACTGGCTGCTCTTCTAGAGGTTCTGAGTTTCAGTTCCTGCAACCACATGATGGCTCACAACCATCTGTAATGAGATCTGGTGCCCTCTTCAGAACTGCAGGCATACATGGAGGCAGAATGTTGTAAACATAATAAATAAATAAATCTAAAAAAATAAATAAAGTAGGTACTATATGTAGCTCAGGCTAGCCACAAACTAGGGATCTCCCTGCCTCTCTTGAGCCGAGATTAGAAGTGTGTTCCACCATGCGCATCCAGAACTATCTGCTCCAAGCCACCCTGTAAAAGAAAATCGATTGAGGGCTGGAGAGATGGCTCAGAGGTTAAGAGCATTGCCTGCTCTTCCAAAGGTTCTGAGTTCAATTCCCAGCAACCACATGGTGGCTCACAACCATCTGCAATGAGGTCTGGTGCCCTCTTCTGGCCTGTAGGCATACACACAGACAAAATATTGTGTATACTAAATAAATAAATAGAAAATCGATTGATGCACAGGGAGGCTAATTACACCCAAATAGACTCTAAGTCATTTCCCCAGTGAACCATAATTTCTGACATAGCCTCTTGTCCCTCCTGAGCCTATGAGGTTTATTAGATTATGCCTCCTGTTTTTTAGCCTTAGCACTCTCTTATAGTTTAGAACCTGTAGTACAGAAGCTAAGAGGGCCAAACAAATTAACTAGCTGGCACATAGAAATCCTGCATCATTGCCTGTGAGCCCAGCCCTCACGAGGCTGAGGCAGGATAATTCCCATGAGTTCAAGGTCAGCCTGGGCTATGGCTATGTAATGAGTTCCTGACCAACCTGTGTTGGACAGTGAGACACTGTCTGGAAAAAGAAGAGAAAACCTTAGTTATGCTCCGTAGGCTTGTACTACTTCCTTGCCAGATGCTAGACAGCACAAGTATTAGTTCAATCTTTTAACAAAAAACTTAAAAAGTTTGGAGTGACATAATATAATACACTTATAATATCATGTGTTTTCTGGATTTTTTGAGGAAGAAGGAAGGCACATTAACACACTGCTTTGAGTTGGTATTCCATGTATGTCAGTCATGTTCAAAGTCTGAAACATATCCCATTACATGTATCGTGGTCCCTAAGAGCTAAGGAGATAAGGACTAGCGTATTTATTTTGGATGCCTTTCTGTTTTGTATTGTTTTGAAACAAGGTCTTAGTAGCCTGCCTAGGCTAGCCTTGGACTCACAGCAATTCCCCTGCCTAAGCTTCAGACAAGTGTTGAGATTTCAGACGGGAACCACCATGCCCAACTTTGGATGCCCTTTTATATGGCTATGCAAAGCCTCCAAAACCTTCATCTCTACTGAGAGGTGCTCCCAGTGACGACACATGAGGACACCTGAACAGGAGAGGGTGAGCGAAGATAACTGGGAAGCGCATCCCCCTTCTCTTCCGGGGCCATGGGTGCCAGAACTGTAGTGAGAACAGTAGCTATATTCTCCCAGTGAGAAGGGGTGTGGCTTGGCTCTGAAAATCCAGGACACACAGTCGCCACCTCCACGACACTCCCTTGGATCTTTTCCCAGACCTACTCAGAAGAGTAGTGGAGAATCCCTAGTCTGTTTCTGTCCCCAGGGGGCTGTCCACACTGAGCCCTGGAGTCTGAATTCCTAGCTCATTTGTTCCCAGTCCTGCATGAGGTTAGTTCTGTTCAAAGCTTTGCTATGGAGAGGTCTATAGCCATTGTGTGGTATGTTATAAATGTTAGACTTGTGATGTGGGGTTTCCCCCTGTGTGTTGTGATTACTTTAATGAATAAAGAACTGCTTCGAGCCTATTGCAGAGCAGGGCGGGGCGGAGCAGAGCTAGGCAGGTCATTAATTTTACAGTTACCTATGGGTATGGTGGTTAAGATTGTACTTGCTCTTATCTGTCTGTTCATATTGCAGTTAAATCTTATCACTGAAAAGAATGCTTTGTTTTTTTTTAATATTTCTAAAGCTTACAAAACACTGACCTGCATTATTTTTTTTCTTGATAATTTCAATAGCATGATTTTGTGTTCTTGGACATTTGTATCGATCTTTCTCCAATTGGAAGACTGATTTTTGAGGTAAGAGAATTTTGATGTTTTTTTTTTTCAAATAAACTTTGAGGCCTCTATAATTGATAAAATACTGAGTAATCTTTGAAACCTTTCATCTTTGTTTTGTAGCTATATTGTGATACATGTCCCAAAACATGTAAAAATTTTCAGGTCTTGTGCACAGGAACGGCAGGGTTTTCTGAGAGAGGCGTAAAGCTTCATTACAAAGATTCGATTTTTCATCGAGTAGTCCAGAATGGTTGGATACAAGGAGGAGGTGAGCTGCAAACTTTAATATGACGTCAAAGCAGAGTGCATTAACACCATTCATTTACCTTTATGAATTATAAAGAATTAGGGCCGACCTCCCATTCACAGAGATCCTCCATTTCTTTGTTGGTGTGTTGGTTTTTCGAGACAGGGTCTCACTGTGTAGCCCTGGCTGTCCTGGAACTCACTGTGTAGTCCAGGCTGGCCTGGAACTCACCAAGATCCACCTGCCTCCTGGGTGCTGAGTCATGGGTACTGAACCGTGCAGTTCATCTGGCTTCTTTTCCATAGGTTCTGGAACCCAACTCATATACTTATGCTTGCATGGGGAGCACTTCATGGAGCCATCTCCAGCCCAAGAATTCGATATTGATAATAACAGATGTATAATTTAAAGACAGTTATATGTGGTCAATTGATTCATTAACATATAATTATTTTTTAATCCCTAATAAAAGTTTTTTTTTTCAGGAACATGGCAAATTAAAAAATGCCATAGAGTAAGATGACTTTTTTTTTTTTAAATCAGAAAGTACTTTTAAAAGTTCAACTAAATACATAAAAATACCTAGGACCACATTTTAAGAAGCATGCTAATGATGGGAATTTGAAAATGGAACCAGGCTGGGCCATGCCTTTAATCCCAGCGCCCAGGAGGCAAAAGCAGACAGATCTCTGTGAGTTCAAGGCTAGCCTGGTTTACAGAGTGAGTTCTAGGATAGCCAGGACTATGTAGAGAGATCCTGTCTCCAAAAACAACAGCAACAACGAGGGTGGGGGGAGTAGATGGAGTTCCTCTGTGTCTTGGCAGCCATTCCCAAATAACCACTGAGACTTATTATTACTTATAAATGCTCAGATGATAGCACAGACTTGTTACTAGTTAATTCTTATATTTTAAATTAACCCGTATTTCTTATATACACTCTGCCACATGGCAGTATCTTCTTTCAACATGACACATTCATCTTTCTTCTTTCTGTGCCTCTCCCGAGACTCTGCCCTTCTTCTTTCCAGGGTCCTCTCAGTTCGGCTGTCCACCTAGCCTCTACCTAGTCCAGCTATTGGCCAGCCAGCTTTTTTATTAACCAGTGAGAGTAATACATATTTATAGCAAAAAAAAAGTTTGTTCCTCAGCATTTCTCCCCCTTTGTCTAATTAAAAAGGAAGGCTTTAAATTTAACATAGTGAAACTATGTATAGCAGAACAGTTATTATGTAAGAATTACAATCACAATATCCAGTCCATTTGTATTTGGCAAGTTTAGAGAAAATTCCCTATTATTTATCTTATCTTTGTGAGTCTAAAGTTTTATAACTAATTTATGTTTTATTATAACTAAAGAAAATGTTAACTATGACTAGTCTTCAACTCTGCCAAAGATCCCAGAAGGGTGAACTGCTAACTAACAATAGGGACATCTTGCTTCCTGAACAGACACCAAAGTTCTTCTGTAATGTTGGACATCTATCTTTGGCCTAAAGGCCTAGCATATCTGACAGGCTTTTTCTGAGAAGCAGGGAATTTTGAAGGACCTTGTCTTGGCAATGTTTGACAGTCACTTTCTTTTGCATTCTGCTGGTCCAGTTTGGACAGTTTACTGTCAGCAATTGAGGTAAGGACAGTTTCTCTGCCCAGATGTCTAGCTTTTGCCATAAAGAAAACAAACTCCATATGGAGGTTCTTTGATGACCATCGTCTTTTGAAGTAAATTGGTACTGTCAAGAACAGACATGTCTCATTGTCACGAATAGCCTTAAGTTATTAAAGATATTAAATGTCATATTCTGTAGGCCTTTGAAGTGTTTGAAGACCATCTATCTATCTAAATATATCTGTGTATGACTTTGAAAACATACCCGACTATATGTTTGACTATTTTAAATGGCTATTAATATGCAATTCCTAAATATACATTACATATTTAAATGAGCTGCATAAACATAGTACCCCAAACAAGATTAGAAACATTCATATAGTGTAAGAAAATTAACTTTAAATTTGTATCACTAAATCAAAATCCATGCCAATGTAAAATATTTTGAGATTAATGGTTGCTTTTTGCATTAAAGTAGGTTCAAAAATCTACCTTTTTCCTATCATTTCTATATTAGAGACAACAAGAGCGCATGTAATCAAAGTAATAAAAAGCCAGGCAGTGGTGACACATATCTTTAATCCCAGTACTCGGGATGCAGAGGCAGGTGGATTTCTGTGAGTTTGAGGCCAGCCTGGTCTACAAGAGCTAGTTCCAGGATGGGCTCCAAAGCTACAGAGAAACCCTGTCTTGAAAAATCAAAAAAAAAAAAAAGTTTGAAGACAGATGCTGCCAGTGATGGGAGGAAGGGAGTGGGGGAAGAAGGGGGAGAGAGAGAGAAAGAGAGAGAGAGAGAGAGAGAGAGAGAGAGAGAGAGACTTCAATCAGTCACAGTAATAAAAATTTGAAGATAACAGCTGCCTAGTGATGGTTACTCTCAGGGACTAAGTTACAGTTGCTACATTTTGTTTCTCAGTTTCCTCAGAACAAGACTTGGGAGAAGTAGGTCACAGTATCTGTTGAAGTTGCTTTTCTGTATATCTAAGATTTCCAGATGGCAAAGTGTGCAGGTATTGAATCTCATTTCAGAATAGTGAGACAAGAAAACTAAGTAATACAAGAATACACTTTATCTTGGGCTAGCTTTAATCCCCTAGATAGCTGGTTCCTTGCTCACATCTATGTAACAAATTAGAACCTTTCAAAATTTATTAATTTAGTAGACTACCAGCTTCCACCAACCCCAAGGCTAAGAAAGTCAACAGACAGTCTCTGAGGCCTAGAGGAGAAATTCTCCCATCTTGCTGTAACTGCCTCTCTGATGTGTCCACCAATGTATTTTTAAATGCCTGGATTTGTAACTCTTTTTTTTTCTGTTACTACAAATTTTCTTGAAACTGCTTCTATATTGGAACATGGAACCTAGGATGGCCTAGCTCCGTGTTTCCTGGGGACATGCTCATTCAAATTTGGATCCACAATAAGGTATTTTGACCTCTTTGAGGTGAGAACTTTGTTTTTTGAGGGGGTTATTTTGTCTTTTGCATCAACACGAATAGCATGATGATGCTCCATTCACTTTTCCAAATAATTTTTCTCTGTGTGCTTCCCGTTGGGTCAGCTCCTGATTTTTTCTAAAGCACACCCTTACTACTAGCTTGCTTACACTCGAATAAGACAGCTCAGTCCTCCAGCCAGCATTTATTGAACACTGTACAGAGGAGAGGGTGGAGCCGAGGGCTAAAGGAAGTAGAGTGTACTGATGGGGAGGCTGGGACACAGAAGTCATGCCTGTTTACCCAGGTGTGGGTGGATATAAAAGAACTTGTGTCTGGAGTCTTTATAGTGGGAACATTGCCAAAGCCAAAGTATACAGTTCCTATAAACACCAAAAGCAAATAAATAAAAACCCTCTTATTATATCAAAAGGAATTTCCTTTTCAAAACATTGTTTAAATAAGTTATTATTATGGCTAACGATGTTTTTTACAGTGCAGGCTGTCAAATTCAGGGTCTTGTACATGCTGTGCAAGCTTGCCAATTAGGGAAGGGTGACTAGACAGTGAGCTCCAGGATCCATGGACCACCAGCATGTGCCACCCTGCCAGCTTTTCATGTGGATGCTGGGCATCAAACTCAGGTCTTCATGGTCGCACACAAAACTCTACCATATGAGCTGCCTCCCCAGCACCTGGAGCATCATTTTCTTCATGTTCAATAAGAACTTCTTCCATTTCATCTTCTCAGTTTATTCTCCCCACTCCTCTGAAAAATGAAGTATGGAATATCTTAGATAGGGTTCCTATTGCTGTGAAGAGACACCATGAATGAGGTAACTCTTATAAAGGAAAACATTTAATTGGGTCGCTTGCAATTTCAGAGGTTTAATCCATTATCATCATGGCAGGACATGGCGGCATGCTGGCAGACATGATGCTAGAGAGGTAGCTGAGAGTGGAGGAGGAGCTACATCTTGATCCCACAGGCAACAGGAAGTGGTCTGAGACATTGGGTGTGGCTCCAAGCCCACCTCCATAGTGACACACTTCCTCCAGCAAAGCCACACCTCCTAATAGTGCCAATTACATTCAAGCTGACACAGGAAATGACCTGTGAAGGGAACGGATTTGTGTGAGCATCTTCTTTATATTGTGGTCATAATGATAATTTAACATTTCCCAAAGGTTTTACATTATAACCTGTTTGTTGCCTCACAGAGTTATGACAACAGAGTGAATTTCTAAAGTAAAAATGATTGCATGATACAGTGAAGTGATTGTAGCAATGTTTTCAGCTGGGCAGCTTACTCTAGACTGATGTAAGATGGAAACAGTCAGGATTAAAGGCGCCTTCTTCCCTTTGCCATCGCTGTTCTCATCTGGTTGTTGTTATTTCTCAGATATAGTACAGGGAAGAGGAGATGACGGAGAGTCTATTTATGGGCCAATATTTGAAGGTAGGTATCTTTCAAGTTTGGCTGTCGTAAAGCAGCTGATTATCCAAATTTAAAAGGATTCAAATGAGACAATTTGTGATCATATTTACCAGAAATAAAAGTTCAAAATGGTGTTATCCTTCAAACTGCAGATTTTTTTAAAAGTGGATCTTTGTCCTTACTTGATTAAAGACTGCATGGTATTCTAAAGCAAAGCAAAACAGAACAAAATCACTGGGATTGCAGATGTGATTCAGTTGGCAGAGTGAACTTGCCTAGCATGCATGAAACCCTGGGTTGGATCTCCCAGATCACCTCATATTGTGGGTCGTGCTTGAAATCCCAGCACCGAGGAGGTAGAGCAAAGGTCATCAGGAGTTCAAAGCCATCCTCAGATATGTAGCGAGTTTGATGCCAACTGGGCTACATGAGACATCTCAGGCAGCCAACCGCTTGGGCTGGTCCACAGCAACTTTACACACACATTTATTTGTGTATTTCTTTAGGATAAATTCCAAGGTATTAGTTAATTCCTCTTGTTCTACCAGCTAGCAGGAATGCTATTAAAGATTACAAGAGTCATGGCAAAATGCCAACAGAACCAGTTTGGAAAGGTTGTCCCTGATCAAAGATGTGGTAATTTGACCTTCATATAAAAACAGTAATTGCAGTTGGTTGGAAACCAACATATATTTTAAACCCACAAGTTCATAATGATACTGTGTTATAATAAAGTCTAACTGGTACCCTTGGAGAAATGATAGAAAAAGGAATTCATTCTCTTGGAGCTGAAGAGATGGCTCAGGGTTTAAGAGTGCATGCTGCTTTTAGCAAGGATCTGGGCTTGGTTCCCAGCACCCTCATCAGGCAGCTCCAGCTCCAACGGATCCAGTGCCCTCTTCTGGACTACATGGGCACCTATATACATATGCACATATACACCCTACCTATGTAAATAAAAATAAATCTTTTTAAAAAACTGTTATCATGAAAATGGAGGTATTTAATCGAGCATGTATTTGGCCTTCTCTGTATGAGATATATAAATCTGTAGATAGAGAAATAGCTCAGGTAGGTGTGACGGCACCTGCCTTTAATCCCAGAACACAGGAGGCTGAAACAGGCAAGTTACTGTGAGTTGGAGGCCAGCCTGTTCTACATAGTGAGTTCCAGGACAGCTAGACCTACACAGCGAGATCCTGTCTCAAAAATATCAAGATGGATGGATGGATGGATGGATGGATGGATCATCCTTTTTAATAAAAGTATTCCAGAGGTTAGAGAGATGGCTCAGTGGGTAAGGCACCTACTGCCCAAGCATGAAGACCTGAGTTTGGATTCTAGTGTCACAGAAAGGCTGGTTGCATGTGCCTGTACCATGTGTGTGTCCAGTGGGAGGGTACTGGGCTGTGGCCACCAGCCCAGCTCCAGGTCCACGAAGGGATCCTGTCTCAGAAGAGGTGAAGGGAGAAATGGTGGAACAGCACACCGGGTATCTTCCTCTGCCCTGATCCTAGTCACTGTCCTATCGCTGGGAAGACACACCATGACCATAGCAACTCTTGTAGAAGAGCTTTCCCACAGTTTTGGAGGGTTAGTCCATTATCATCACGCTGGGGACCATGGTGGGGAAGTAGCTGAGAGTGACATCGCGAGCTGTAGGCAGAAGGCAGAGAAACACTGGGGCTGGCACAGGTTTTTGAAACCTGAAAGCCTACTCCCAGCAACGCACCTATTCCTACAAGGTAACACCAACCAATCTCCCAACAGTCTACCAACCAATGACTGAGCATCTAAACATATGAGTCTGTGGGGGCATTTCTCATTCAAGCCTCCACAGTCCTATACAAGCATGTGCACAGGTTTTGGCACCTGCACATATCACCTGCACATGTGTGTATATACCACATACATATATACACATATACAACATCCAATTAATAAATGAAAAGGAAATAATACTGTAGGAGAGCAACTACTCTCCTGGCCGCAGTGAAACATGGGTGGAGGCCCTTGTTGCATCAGCCCCTCTTAACATCACAGAGACAAAGACAGCAGAGACTCTGTGATGTGGGAGGTCCTTCTGTATATGTGTCGCTTTTATTGGTCAATGAATAAAGAAGCTGTCTTGGCCTGTGATAGGGCAAAGTAGAGCTAGGCAGGGGCTGGGGTGTGGGAGGGAACTAAACTGAATGCTGGGAGAAAGAAGGTAGAGCCAGGGAGAAGCCAATAAGCTAATAGGCCAAGCAGTTAATTAATACAGAAATTAATACAGTTTCTATGTGACTATTTTGGGGCTGAGCAGCCGGGAACAAACAAGTGGCCTCCTACTACAATTCTGGGCCTCTGATGAAAGAGTGCACCAAGGGGTGGGAAAGTCTGTGCATCCATCTACAGTCAGTGCCATCACAGCGTGACATATTCCAAAGAAATCTCCTTATTGGGGCTTTTGCAATGATGTCTTGGCAGCCTTTCTCTGATTTTAGTCCTTGGGAGGCAGAGACAAGGGATCATAGGGCAAGGTGGACAACTAGATTCACAAATCAGTAAGCTCTGAGTCAATGAGAGACCCTATCTCTGTAAATAAAGTGGGGGTGCAATTGATGAAGACACTTGCCATCAACCCTGGCCTCTGCACACAATCTCACATAACTACTATTATAAATATAGAACTTTACCTGAAAAGACTGAGTGTGTCGAGGTGGGTCCATGAAGAGTTTTGTAGGTCGGGCAGGCCTTGAAATTGCAGTCCTCTTTCCTTAGCCTGACGCCCAGCTATGTAGGTGACTGTGTATTAACTAACTATGCTAGCATGGAACCCAATGCTCACACATGCTAGGTAGGTGCTTTGCCTCTGAGCTAAATTCCCGAGCCAGAACCTCATAGTCAGTGAGTACCCTCATTGACTTTACCACCCACCACCTGTCCTAGAGCATTTGAACTTGGAGGCTGTTTCTGTGACAAAACACCCACGAAAGCAATGTAGGGCAGTGGGAGGCTTGTTTCGGCTCACAGTGTGAAGGTGCAGTCATGGCGGGGAAGGCATGGTGGCAGGAGTTTGATGCAACAGATCTCATCTGCTCAGGAAGCAGAGAGAGATGAATGCTGATGCTCAGCTCATGTCTTCCTTTTCCTCAGCCTGGGCCCCCAGTCACTGGATGGTGCAGCCACAGTCAGGGTGACTGTTCCCTTTTCAGTTAGACCTTTCTGGAAATCTCATGGACACACCACCAGCTGTTTCTCCAAGATGATTCAAAATCCTTTCAAGTTGGCAACCAAGATTCATTGTCACAGAAACACATCTGGGGGTGATACTTCCGAAAATGGTGGCCTCGTCATCAGTACTGTGTTCTTCCTTACACATAAGGTGTATAACCTTACACACTTGCATTTACACCACCCCCAAAACTATCCTTTTCCTCACTAGAGATGAAAACGTATTTGAATATGAATGAGAATAAGAACAGACTACTATCTTCATCATCAATGTTGAGGAGCACAGCTGAGCCAGTTAAGGTGACAGAGTCTTGCTCACACACAGGACAGGAAGCACCCGTAACCTGTAGAAACGGTGACTCCACATTCAATGTCTATGTAAGATGCTGGGAGGAGGGCCAGACCCACGCAGGTGTGAGAACGGTGTTCATCATGTTCACACTGGTTGAATGGATGAGGGTCCACTGCAGGTAGCACATGGAAGCCTGCTGTCCTTCACTGGAAGCAATGCATATCCCAAGGATGCGTGTTTCTAGCTACAATAAAGACAAATGAGCTAAATGCTCAACAATTCCAGTAAGATTTTACAACTTTAAAAAAGTTTGTTTAAATATTTGAAAGTAATCAAAACTAATGGAAATGTCTACAGTTTGCAGTACACCAGCAGTAAACCTCTTACCAAGTTCCCTTGCTCTTTAAAGGTCGCAACTGTTGGAAATGACGCTTCAGTGACCTACCATTATTCTTTCCTAGATGAAAACTTTTCAATTCCTCATAATAAAAGAGGAGTTCTTGGAATGGTCAATAGAGGTCATCATACCAATGGCTCACAATTCTACGTCACACTGCAAGCAGCTCCCTATCTGGATAGAAAATACGTGGCTTTCGGGTATGTACATGATGGTTTTCCTGCACAGGCTTCACACATATAACGTGTTGCATGATGATTGTACATAGTCTGGTTAGCCAAAAATAGAACTGACAACACAAAATAATAGACGCATCTAGCAATAAATAGTTATAACAGATTTGTTATCCATAAAAAAAGGAAGTTAGGACTGGCAAGATTACTCATAGGGTAAAGGTGCTTGTCGCACAGTTCTGATGATTATGAGTTCAATTCCTGGAACCCACATAAAGGTGGAAGGAGACCCAACTCCATAAGAATTGTCCTCTGACTTCAACACATGTGCTATGGCATGCACACCACACACATACATCACATCATCATCATCATCATCATAATAATAATAATAATAAATTTTTATAAAGAAATTAAACACAGCTATGGTAATGTTCCTATCTGTCTATCACTCAGTATGTCTATATGTACCTACCTACCCACTTACCTGTGATCTTCAGTCTCCAGATCAATATCAATCCTTATGACTACTCATACTACAGTGCTTAATAATCTAGATATAGTTCCATGCAGAAGTGAGAAGTTTATGCCATCTCACTTCTGTAGATTCTCTATGGCCTCAGCAGCCTTAATGAGATGACTTTTCATTCATAGGTTTAGAACTTAATGAGTTGCTTTCAGTTTTCCTCCAAGTTATAAAGTAATCTGAGTTTTTTTGTCTGTAAATTTTTTTGTTTGTGAAAATTAATTCTCTCTCTCTCTCTCTCTCTCTCTCTCTCGTGTGTGTGTGTGTGTGTGTGTGTGTGTGTGTGTATGTCTCTGTGTGTTTTACAGGGTCTCACTATGTAGCCCTGGCTGTCCTGGAACTCACTCTGCAGACTAGGCTGGCCTCAAACTCAGAGATCCTCCTGCCTCTGCCACCCCAGTTCAAGAATTCAAGGCGTGAGCTGAAAATGCATTCTTGTATTATTTTAGATAACTCCAGCTCTTCTCGGATCATCTGAATATCCTCTGCCACCTTGCTGACAGTCTCTACCCCTCCTACCAATGCCTTATGAATTATTAAAGTCTCCTTTCTCAGACACAAACGTGGCTACAGCGAATCCTCAGTGCGCCACCACCACCTCCTGCAGACACACACACACACACACACAGTCAGTCAGCCTTCCGCACCGCTCCCTCTCCTGCCCTGCACTGTTTCCAGCCATCATCTTTGCTTTTCTTGATTCATTCAATATAATTTTACTGGGCATCTGCCATCTGTCATTGCTGATGTTTAGAGTGGAGAGAGGGTGGCAGGATACAGGCTTGCTCTTCAGGGACGTTAGATCCCACCAAAAAAGGCAGATAAAAACAAACAAAGGACCCCATCAAAAACAGAGAGATATATAAAGCAAAGACTGCAGGTGGTTACTGGGAAGGCTGGAAGTGGGACTGAGATGACCCCTCTCCCCAGTTCCTCAAGGAAGAGCAAACTGAATGATTTCAGGGCTGTTCCTGGGGAAGTCTTTTCGCTGTCGTCACCACTCTGGCCGCAGGGAGGCAGTGTATCCCTTTTATTGTTTCAGCTCAGGCGTAGTCTCAGCCCAACCCTGAACTCTCCTACTCCAGTTTCAGTCAGGTTGGAATATCTAAACAGAATGTTTAGGGAGCTGGAGAGAGATAACAGCAAAACAGACAACCAGTCCAGTTACGGCGGATGAAATAGAGCTTCCTGGCCAGGTGAAGCTGCCGCTGCCCAGGGATCTTCTGGGCATTTCTGCTTCCACAAGTCCAAGCGTGGTCAGCAAGGCCTGGAGACACAGAAGTCTCCTGTCTACCTGAAGGCTCCTCTTTCTAAGTTCTAAAGTAGAAGCTGCTAGAAATGCTTATCAGCAGAGACTGCAGCAGTCCACAGCATGGCCTTTCTCAGTGTCCCTCATGGGGAAAGAATATAAAAATGCAAGCTTGTGCCGGGCGGTGGTGGCACTCGCCTTTAATCCCAGCACTCTGGAGGCAGAGACAGGCAGATCTCTGAGTTTGAGGCCAGCCTGGTCTACAGATCAAGTTTCAGGGCAGCAAGAGCAGAGCTACACAGAAACTCTGTTTCAAAAAACAAACAAACAAACAAACAAACAAACAAACAGGTCTTTGGACTGGAGACATGGCTTGGTGGTTGAGAGCACTGGCTATTCTTCCAGAGGACCCAGGTTCAATTCCCAGCAGTCACATTGCAGCTTACAACTGTCTGTAACTCCAGTTTCAGGTGATCTACCATCTTCACCCAGACAAATGTGCACATAAAATAAAAATAAATATATATTAAAATGCAACCTTGTAAGATTGCCATCCATGCATACACATGGAAGAAGTTTGAGGGAGTGTGCCCTGGGGATGGTGGGAGGAGAATTTCATTTTCAGGGGGTCTTAAGGTGGGAAGGAACTGTGGGAGGCTTTGTGAGAATGTGAACCAGGTAGCTAAAGTGAAGTAGAAGTTAGCCAGATAGAGGAAGGGGAAAATTACGATTAATCAAATCAGTTTTGAAAGCATAAGGCACTCTTCCAGTGCCCTAAGGAACAAGAGAGAAGCATATCTACAGCTCAGCTGGCCAAGCAAGCGTGCGAAGCCCAAGGGAGAAGAGAGACAGGCTGGAGAAAGGGGAGGGACAAGGACCACTGGGCCAGAGGTGCCATGAATGCTTCAGGGTATGGACTTCTTCCAAAGACGATGAGGAACTACAGGAGAGCTTTTAATTGTAAGCTACTTGAGCAGCTTATTGGGCAACATTTCTGTAGAAGCCACGAGTAAGCTGGAAAAGAATAAAAAAGGATAGAGCCCACTCAGGAAGATGCAGAGATGCTGGCTAAAAGCTGCAGCAGCAAGCAGCTTCAAGGCCTGAGGGACTACCGCCCGAAGAGTGGTGCTGGGCATACAGGCAGCAAAGTGGGCACTCGGAGAGCCAGTTCGGATAGTTACAATTGCAGTTAATTTGTATTAGCTTTCACAGTGTTGGGGAGGACTCCATTTGTGAATGTACGCTAAACATGGAAATGCAAGGCTGATCATATGTTATTCCCTCCTGTGCAGGCAACTAATCGAAGGAACTGAAGTTCTTAGACAACTGGAATTAGTCCCAACAGAGAATGAGAGACCAACGCTTCTCTGCAGTATTGCAGACAGTGGAATTCTTTATACCTGATTTTCACATCAGTCAGAGTTTCTGCCATGATTTATTACTGTGCTTTTGATCAGCTCTTTCTGTATTTAATTAAATGGTGCTTGATAACCTTGATTCCAAGACTGCAGCAGACACAATAGGTTGGTTCGTCTAACAGTCATTCCCCTTTCCTCTCCTGCCTTCACCACAGAGAGACTATTGAAACAAAATACTCAATTTCCCAGGCCCCTTTGCAACTGGAAAGGCCGTTTGAGAGTCTGTGGCTAGTGGGTCACTGGAATGCCAGTGATCTTGTTCCCTCCCCTTCATCATGTCTTAAATACAGATAGGCTAGGAGCCGAGAGAACTGCTGGGCTGTCAGCCCCACCTCACCACCATGACCTCCTCCTTCTGGAATTTTTACTGCTTAAGACAAATAGAACTCTGGTTCTATTCCTGTGGTTCTTTTGTTACTTGTGGCCCCAAATATTATTAACCTATCTATGTACCTAGAGAGTTTTTAGTCTAAAGCATTTGTAAATGAATTATGCTGTTTGTAACTACATTCCTACCATGATAAACTTGGTCAATAACTGACACAATAGAAAACCACAGCTCAGTGTGGTTATATTTCTTATGCATAGCATGCAGGAAGGACACATGGCTTTGGATGTTGTAAATACAATCCATGTCTCTGAGCTATTCCAACCATATGAAAATCAAGAGCTTCGATTGATCTTTGTGGTGACTGATCCCAGTGACATTGCTGGAGTTCTCTCTGTCTTATCAGCTGCTCCACTGGAAGGTCCCTAAGGCTACCTCACTTGAAGGGAAAGCTTTTTAAATATAGATCAGCAGGCCCTGTCCTGAGTCACAGTCTGCAAGAGGAAGAACTCAAGATGGAGACAGGAGACTTAGTTTAGTTCTTTCCTACTTGGACAGCTGAGCACCAGTCATCTGGGAACCACAACGTGACAGAATTATCTGACTTCAGCACCCCCAGCGAATCTTACTGGTGACCCTCAACTCCGACCACTACCTCTGTCCTTGTGCCTCTCTCCCACTTTCCTGACCCTTCTAACCCCACTTCAAAGGTGACTTGTCTCCAAGGATGAGCTCCCCTTAAACCAATTCTGAAAGAGACAAGCTGTAAATTGATTTGGGGCTTGCCAAATGTAGGCATAGTATCTATTTTGAGATCATTACAGGTTCACAGGAACTTGCAAAAGTAGTGCAAAGAAGTCTTGTGTACCCTTTACCCAGTTTCCGCATATAGTACAATATCAAAATAGGCAGCTAACATTGCTGCAAGTGTGTGATGCCATTTCATCATGTGAAGCTTTGTGTCACACGTAATGAAGATCCACCACCCCAAAGAACTCCCTCATTCTACCCCATATTATTACCCAGCCTGTCTTAGCTCTGTATCATATATACACCAAATACAAAGCTCTAATGTAGATGAGGAGAAAGAACACGGTCCATTCCACATCACCAACTGACTCAGAGATGACAGTGTTAAGAACATGTGCTCTAGAGCCAGGCTACTCAGGTTAGAAACCAGGCTCTGCCCTTTCCTACCTGCACCAACTTAGGCAAAAGCTTCTCTGGACTTTTGTTTTCTAATGTAAAAAATAGGTGTTGTTATCTTCGGGGTTGTTGTCTAAGCTCAGTAACTAATAGTTGTATAAAGAACCTGAAAAGAGGCTTGGTATGCTGTAGGTATTCAATGGATGGGTGCTCTATTTGATAGTCAATAAATTACTTATGTATAACCAGTGGGATATGGCCTCTGAATGTGTACTCTGTAAATGTCCTCCAAGACTTATCAACAGCCGCATCAGATTGAGCTTCTTCATCTTCCTAGAGCTCTGGGATATATGAGAATCCAAGATTCTCTTTATTTATTTTAAAATCCTAAAACAGAACCTCACTATGTAGCTCAGGCTAACCTTGAACTCACAATTGTGCTTCCTCAACCTTCCAAGTGCTGGGATTATATGTGTGTGCTGCCATATCTGAATAACGAAGCCCTAAAGTTTCTGTGAAGCCCCCAGACCCTCTCTCTGGACTCAGATCATACTAGTGTTATCACAGAAGGGAACAGGGCTTGCTACCAAGACTTACCAACCATTGAGACAACCAAATTGGAGCTCCTGTGCTTTCCAAGGATCCTGGTTAAAACATCACCAGCATTGGTGGTGTGGTAACAAAGACCAGGTTTTCTAGTGGGAAGCTGTAGCAGTGGGCTCACATCCAATTGCGAAAGAACTAGGATGTGCACCTGGCACAAGAAACTGATCCAGTACGGGGCATAGTGGTCCATACCTGTACTTCCAACACTAGGGAAGTGGAGACAGAGGATCAACCAGCATGAGGGAAATATTTTTCTAGTCCAGCCTAGGTTACTCGACAAGTTCAGACCAGCCTGGGGTATAAAGAATCTGTCCCAAAATAAACAAACAAAAAATCCTATTTCCTTTAGTAGCAATATAAAGGTAGAATTCTACCAGTCTTAAGAGATGGCAAGTTCATGATCCCTTTGTCCAATTCTACGCTACAGAAACTTTAATTTCAAATCTGTATGTTCTTAAGACCACCATTTAAAAGTATATATGTTGATACTTCCATTCTGGAGGTAGAGGCACGAGGATCAATGTTGGAGACAATCTTTTACACATAGTAGTTTGAGAACACCCTAGAATACCTGAGTCAAATTTAAAAATCTACCAAAATAAAAATATCATTTGCCCCCAACTATACAGTTACTGATTATGATTACTTGGTAATAAATGAATGGTCCATCAACAATAAGATTCCAGATTCTTGAATTTTTGCAGTTTATATTTTAAGCTAAACATGTTTATTCCAGACTTGCTTTTCCCACAATGATGATAATGGTCAAATTACTTAACCTTTTGCTGACCTCATTTGTACCAATAATAGAAAGATATGTAGTGGCATTTCACTTGTATTTTAATAAATAAAACTTGCCTGAAGATCAGAGAGCAAAACAGCTTCCCTGGTCAGCCTTGCAGCCCAGGCAGTGCTGACACACATCTTTAATCACAGTAGCCATACTAGTTGTCATAGAAACCAGGCGGTAGTGGTACACACCTTTAATCCCAACACTAGAGAGGATTATAAAATGGGAGGAGACAGCTCTCAGTCACAGTCTCATTCTGAGATTCCTGGAGGCGGGATCGCCAATTCAGACTGAGGTAGAAGTAAGAGCTGGCTGTTTTGCTTTTCTGGCCTTCAGGTTGAACCCCAGTATCTGTCTCTGGGTTTTTATGAATTGTGCTATAGAAAGTCACTGTCTGTTTGCTGATTCTAGGATTTCCATGATTCTCTGAGGAAACCTATAAAACCAACACCTGCTTTGTTTGGGGGCTTCACTTTTGTTAGTAAAATAGGACTATATCCATCTATCTTTGTGTTTTGAGGACCGAGAAGCAAACAAAGAGATTTCTAATGATGCCTGGCATAGCAGATACCCAATAAAAACTCGGTAATGTCTTCCCACAAAACCAGTTCAGTGACAGTGTGTCATCGTTTCAAGAGACATTAAGACCTTGTCATCCTGTATTGCCATATGATATCATTTGAACTTCTCAGTCGGCCGAACAAGCTAATTCTGAGATCTCCCTCCCAAGCTGACTGGTTCTCTCCTTCTTAGAGACCATACTGTTATTCCCTACTTTCCCAGAATGGAATCACCACCGTTTACACAGGCAAATATTAAGTTTCTGTCAGACTTTATATATCATCAAACAAACAGGTAATAAACTGAATTACAAGTAAAGTACCACATAAATCACAAGGCTGGTCATTAGGGTTTGTAACTGTGCTCAATCACAGCTTCTCTTACTTTAGCATGGAACAGGATGCTATCGGGCTGTGTTCTAGCTGAAAATAGTTCTCCAGGGCAGACCAGAGGAAGCACTGTGGATGCCTCTGTACACAGGGACAGCATAGCTCATGCAGAACATCAGAAAGATTCCCAGGGTGTTACCACAGCACAAAGACTATCCCAAAGGACCAAGTCAAGAAAAAGATTTCCATTTCTTAATTTGAGAGGTGGTGCAAAGCTCTAACAAGCCCAGAGTTCAGCAGAAGAGAAATACAAATCTTAAAGCTGGATGTGTGCTCCATGGCTGAAATCCCAGCACTCAGAAGGATGAGGCAGGAGGATAAGTTTCAGGCCAGCCTGGGATATATAAGTTCAAGAGCAGCCTGGGCTATGTAGGAAAAAGCAAAGATGTCATGCATCACAGGTCATGGCCCCAGGAGAAGCTGGCTGGGTTCCATGGCCCTCACACTCCCAGTTTTGGGTTGTTTGTATCACAAGCTCGCATTTGTAAGACCAAAACATGTCCTACTATAGTTTTGTAGGTGAGTTACTATTCAAACTGTAGCAGTTCAGGACAGATGAGTTCTGCACAGCCTTTTCAAACTCATAATAATGTGTGTGCATATCTCTCAGGGATCTTGTGAAAATCAAGTTCTGATTCAGAGAGTGAGATAAGTCTCGGTATTTTACATTCTGAACAAACTTCTAAGTTCTCATAAATCCTATCTGTTCATGGACCACTCTCAAAAGCAAGAGGAAGATGGGAGGTTTCTATCAGAATTGTAGGTTAGAAACCCTGGGGACCTTGTGAAAATCTGGATGTCAAGGTCTTTCAGATCAACTAAGCCAGTCCCTAGACATCCTTTGTTTTTAACGCTTCAATGTGCAACAGAGTTGAGAACTCAAGTACAGTGCTCCCTCTTGAATCAAAGCCCTGGGACTAGGATCAATGAAACATCTGCAAAGTGTAGGAGATCCTCCAAATAGAAATGTCTCTGGTGTGTTATCAGTACTACCATACATACCATCAAACTAACGTTAAAAATCTGAAAGATGATTGGTTAAGAGCTCTTCCTGCTTTTCCAGAGGACATCAGTTCTTGGTGCTCATATTGGTGACTCACAACCTCCCACAACTCCAACTCCAGGACATCTGATAACTTCTTCTGGCCTCTGGGACACCCCACACACATGCACACATATGCAAATTTAAAAAAATATTTAAAAATCAGAAATTATTAATCTGTTATTAATCTTATTAAAAGTCTCTTAGCTGTTTTTTGTTGTTACTTTGCATGCTAGTAACTGGGAAGTCTCAGTGTTCTAAATCGGCTCCAACTCGAGCTCGTTACAGCCCTCCTACTGAAAGTTGTATACATGCTAAAATTGTGTCATGGGTGCCTGGGGAGATGGCTCAGTGATCAAGAGCACTTCCTTCTTTCACAGAGGACTGGTGTTTGGTTCCTAGCACCCACATGACAATTCAAAATCATCTGTAACTCCAGTTCCAGGGAATCTGCATCCTCT